TCATAAAAAGTATGTTCTCTGACCATGATAGAATTATACTAAAAACCAATAACTGAAAGAAAATTCTTTAAACATCTGGAATTTAAAAAACACTCTTCTAAATAATTCGTTGGACAAAGAGGAAATTCAAGAGAAAATACAATATATTTTGAACTGAATAATGAAAATACAACATATCAATATGTATGGGATGCAGGTAAAGTAGTGTGTAATGGGAAATTTGTAGCACTAAATATTTACATTAGAAAGGGAGAAAGGTGTCAAGTTAATAATCTAAGTTTCCATTAAAAAAAAACTACAAAAAAACCTAGAAAAAGTAAAATAAATCCAAAGCAAGCAGAAAGAAAATACTACAGATAATAGCAAAAATCAATAAAATTGAAAATAAAAACATAAGCGAAAACTATGAAGAGAAGGAATAGAGAAAACAAACAAAAAAGTTGGTTTATTTATTTATTTATTTAAAATATATTTATTGATTTCAGAGAGAGGAAAGGAGAGGGAGAGACAGAGATAGAAACATCAATGATGAGAGAGTCATTGATCGAGCCCGAAACCCAGGCATGTGCCCTGACCGGGAATCGAACCCCGATTGCCTGGATCCTAGGTTAACACTCAACCGCTGAGCCACACCCGGCTGGGCGGTTCTTTTAAAAGATCAGTAACATTAATAAACTTCTAGCAAGACTGATAAAGAAAAAAAGAAGACACAAGTCTGAAAAAATTTATGCAGACATTAAAAGCATAATAAAGGAATACTACGCATGACTCCAACTCACATAAATTCAACAATTTAGATAAAATGGAAATGGATCCATTTTTCAAAAACTAAAACTCACCTAGGATAAAAAAAAAAAAAAAAAAAGCCTGAATAGTCCTATAACTATTTTTAGATTGAACATGTAGATGAAAAAAAACCTTCCTAAAAAACAAATCTCCAGATCAAGATGGTATTAATGGTGAATTCTACCAAACACTTTAAGAAAAAATAACAATTTTACTCAGTCACTTCTATGAGATAGAAGAGGGAACATTTCTTAACTCATTTTATGAGGCCACTATTAACCTGATATCCAAATCAGACAAAGACAACAGAAAACTATAGGTCAATATTAGCAGATTAAATCCAGCAATATATAAAAAGAATAATTCACACAACCAAGTGGAGTTTATCCTAGGAATGCAAGACTGCTTCAATACTTGAGAATCGATGTAATATGCCATATTAATAGTCTAAAGAAGAAAATCAACATGGCCGTATCAGTTGATGCAGAAAGCATTTTACAGAATTCAACATCTTTCATATTCAAAATCCTCAGCAAACTAGGAATAGAAGCAAACTTCCTAACCTGATAAATGGCGCCTACAAAAAGTCTATAGCAAACATCATACTTAGTGGTGTAAGACTGAATGAGATCCCCCTGGGATTGGGAACAAGGCAAAGATATCTACTTTGACCACTCCTATTTAACATCATACTGGAAGCCTAGCCAGTACAATAAGGCATGAAAATAAAATAAAAGGTATAAGATTAGAAAGGAAGAAATAAAATGGTCCCTATTTGCAATCAAGATAATTTCTACATAGAAAAGGAATCCCCCCCCCCCCCCAAAGTCCTAGATGTAATACAAGAGCAACACAAAAACTCAACTGAATTTCTGTATATGCTAGCAACAAATAATCGGAAACCAAAAACTTCTAAATAATTGCATTTACAATTTCCCCCAAAAATGAAATAGTTAGATATATACAGTAACTGAATGTTGTAAACTACAAAATACTGATGAACAAAATAAATAAAGATGTAATCAATAAAGAGACATAACATGATCATGGATTAGAAGACTCAACATAATAAAGATTTCAATTCTTCCAAAATGAACCTATAGATTTAATGCAACTCCATGAAAGTCCCAATAGGATGATTTATAGATCTAGACAAGTTTATTCTAAACGTATATGCTCAGTAAAGAGGAGAAAGAGGAATTATACTACACAACTTTAAGACTGAAGCTAAAATAATCTAGATAGTGTGGTACTGATGAAAAGACACAGAGACCAGTGGAATGGAATAGAGTCCAGAAATTATCTACACAAATACAGCCAATTGATTCTGGCAAATGTATAAAGGCAATTTAATAGATAAAGGATTGTATTGCAACAACTGAATTTTCATGTGCAAAAAATTGAACTTCAATCTAAAGCTCATACCTTATATAAAAATTAATTCAAAATGGATCACAGGTTTAAATGTGAAATGTAAAACTAAATACCTTTCAGAGGAAAACAGAAGAAATATTCAGGACCGAGTTTTTAGACATGACACCAAAATGACAATTCAAAAAAATTTTATAAAATGGACTTCATCAAAATTTAGAACTTTTGCTCTTTAAGGGACCCTGTCAAGAGAATGAAAAGGCAAACTACAGGCGGCTCTCTCTTTGGGGCACCTTGAGCCTTTCCCCATCCCTTTTCCCCAGGTGCATTTTCCTTAAACTCTATCTCCTAAGCTCCCAGGGCCCTTCTTTGGCATTGTAACTTGCTTCCTGAGCACGTTTCTTCTATGGCTCACTTCTATTCTGTGACTTTTTAAATAAACTTTCTCTTATAGTTTGGGGGGGAAAAAAAGACAAATTACAAATTGGATGAAAACATTTGTAATTTATAGATCTGACAAGGGACTTGTGACCATTACGCTTAGTAAAAGAAACTGATCTCATAAAAGGTTACATAGTAAATGATTCCATATATATAACATCCTCAAAATGACAAAACTATAGAGACAGAGAATAGATTGATGGTTGCCAGGGAATAGAGACAAGGGGGTGTAGGGGAAGGATGTGACTATATAAAGGGGTAGTACAAGATAATTTCTCTTGGTGAGGGAATATCCTATATCACGGTGGTGGTGGTTACACAATTCTATAAAAAAAGATCAAATTGCATAGGACACACAAATGAGTACATGTAAAAATTGTGAAAACTGAATAAAGTCTAGTCTCACAATAGACTAGTGTGTCAATGTCATTTCCCTGGTTTTGATAGTGTTCCATTTAAGGGGTTCTATGTACTATTTTTGCAGCTCCCTGTGAATCTACAATCCTTTCGAATGTAAAAGTTAAGAAGAAAACTGGCAGCAAAATTATTGGAAACAGTCCATCCATAGAGGACTGATTGAATAAACTATAACGCAGGCACACAATGTATGAAACCATAAAAAAAATAAGGAATATATCTGTGAACTGATGTGGATAAATGAAAAAAACAAGGCCCAGAGCACTGGATAGAATGTGCTAACTACTGTATAAAACAGAAAGGGAAATAAGGATATACCATAAACAGAGATTTGCTTATTTTCACAGTAAGAAAAACAGGAAGGACAAACCAGAAGTTAATGAAAAAGGTTTTCTATAGAGGGTGAGTGGAAATGAGGTTAAAAGGATCAGGATGGGAGCAAGAATTCTCTGAGTAAAACTTTACATGGTTTTAAGTTTTTAATTATGTAAATCTTTACATAATCAAGCTCTTCAATAAAATGAAAGAAAACCCTAAAATTGAACACAATTATATCAATTTGATAATATAATCATACAGAAAAAATTATTTCAAGTAACTTTTGTGGGTTTGTGGGTTTTTGTTGTTGTTAATCCTCACCTGAGGATATGTTTTTCCATTGATTTTTTAGAGAGAGTGGAAGGGAGGGAGGGAGGTATGGGGGGAGAGAGAGAGAGAGAGAAACTTTTGTGGGGGGAGTCCAATTTATTTTTTATTTTATTTTTTCCATCACCATTTATCCCCTCTATGCCCTTTTTCACCTTCATCCCCACCACTCTCCACCCCCCGAAGCCCACAATCACCACACTGTTGTCCATGATCATGAGTTTTCTTTTTTTTTTTTTTTTTTCCAATCCCTCTGACTATAGTCCTCAGTGCTCTATATCCTAATAATAACAGTACTGTAACTGTAAAGAAATCTTAAACTTCCTGTGGCAATCAGGGAATAGAATTTTCAGGAGAAAGCCAAAGTATCACAATGACATTAGCATAGAGTAAATCAAGTCAATAAAAAGACAAACAATTTAAAAATGGGCAAATCATTTGAACCTGCGCCTCACTTCTTTGAGCGAAGTATTTTGTAAACATCTCGTTCAACTACCAAATGACTATATTAACTAGGTACTATGTCATTACATTTCCAGGAGAAAACTGAAGCAAACAGAAGTTAAATAACTTCCCAAGACCACACAGCAAACAGCAGAGCCAGAATCTGGAACTGCAGTGTGTGGAAGTCCAGAACCCATGCTTTTAGCTTTTAACTGCTCTGAGGGAGCAGTGGGGAGCTGAGTGAGCAGCTGGCCACAGCGATGGCTGAAGCGGAAGAAGAAAGGAGGACCTTTTCTCCTCCAAAGGCAAGACCAACATTCTTTGGAACCTAGCCCTTATTACCCTTTTTCTAAAAGCTCTACACCCAATCTCCATCAGCAGGTCTACCTTTTAGTTTGTCCTTAGGCTGTTCTCCTGGTCTATTCCCAACTGTACTGGGTTGACACTGTCCCCCCAAAGTTCATGTCCACCCAGAACCTCAGAATGTGACCTTGTTTGGAAATAGGGTCCTTGCAGATTATTCAAATGAAGGCAAGTTCATACTGGATTTGGGTGGATCCTAACCCAATGACTGCTGTTTTTATTAACAAGAGAAAAAATATGCACCCACACATGAAAATAAATAGAGGTAGAGATTGGAATGATATATGTTTACAGGCCAAGAGATCCCACGGGTTGCTAGGAATCACCAGAAGCTAGGAGAGATGCATGGAACAGATTCTCCTTCAGAGCCTCCGGTAGGAACCAACCCTGCCAATACCTTGATTGTGGACTTCTGTCCTTTACAACTGTGAGAGAGTGTATTTCTGTTGTTTGAAGCCACTCAGTTGTGGTACATCTTTATGGCAGTGCTAGGAAACACACATGCCAGTTTTCAGGGGCTTCTTGCCACTGACCTCCACGCAGTTCTGGATCCTGGTGGGCATCTCAACAATAAGTGCCTCCATGAGCCTTCGGAGGGATTGCATGGTCTCCTTAAACAGGTCCTGAGGGGGAAAGGAGACTCAAGCAGTTGCCAAGTGATCAGCCCCAACCCTCCTTCTAAACTCTGCTCAGCATCTGGCTCTCCCACAAAGCCTTACTTAAGAAAGCCTGCTCCAAAATCTACATTTCAATACTTGCCTGCCATTCACTTGAACAAATTCCTCTGAGAGAGAGAAAGAGAGAAACATCAATGTGAGAGAGAAACATCAATGGGCTGCTTCCTGTATGTGCCCCAACCAGGGATCGAACCTGCAACCCCAGCATGTGTCCTGACCAGGAATTGAACCCACCACCTTTTGGTGTATGAGATGAAGCTCCAACCAACTGATCCACACCAGGGCAGTTCCTCTGCTGTTTGCACCAGAGCACAAATGTCTGCCTGGCGTGCAGTTTGTCCTGGTGGACTGGGAGTTCCCTGGCAACATAGCTACCCTGCCCACTCCCTAACTTGAGCTCATCTTGGACTCTGGTCCCAGTGGATGCAGCTTCAGTAAGCAGCCAAGACTGACAGGTTGGCTGGCTCCAGGGTTGGAAGAGGACTGGTCTGGCAGTCTGCAGGGTAACAGATTCACAAAAGCTAGGACAGTGGGTTTCTCCCTCTCCCCCTTTAGTGAACCAAGTGGCCTTGCCCAAAATCTTATAAAGAAAGTAGGTGATGTGCCAAGGAGGGCTTCTAAATGTAGGGGCCTGCTGGGAGAACCAAAGCAACATTTGTGATGGACCTGGACCACTAAAACTGAAAAGCAGGAGGAAAGAGAAAGAAAGGCAGATCTCCTTGGAATAAAGTACTTGAGAGAAATCTACCTCAGCATCAAGCTATTCTTACTGGGCAGTTGGAACTCCCAACCTGCCCCAAACACAGGGAAATCCTGTCAGAATACCCTCCTCACCCTAACTATGTTTATACTGAGGAAGGTCTCATGAGGATACAACCAGAGAAAACCCACTTCGGCCTTTTCTATATGTGCCAGTCTTTCTTTCATAAGTAAGCATGAACTAAAAAATAAGGGTCACCAGCATCTGATGAAAAGAAGGCCCAAGATGAACAAACCATAAAGAAAATCAAGCTAATTCAGTAAATAGTAGAAACTTGTATTTTTAAAATTCCTACTAGTATCCTCAAAAGAATTCAAGAGACTATGGCATCAGTAAAACAAGACCAACCAGTCAAGATAAAAGAGGAATCAGAGAACATGAAAGAATTCCCAGGAATTGCCTGGCCGAGCGTGGCTCAGCGGTTGAGCGTCGACCTGGGATCCAGGCGATCGGGATTTGATTCCCGGTCAGGGCTTGATCAATGACTCTCTCATCATTGATGTTTCTATCTCTCTCTCTCCCTCTCCTTTCTTCTCTCTGAAATCTATAAAGATATATTTAAAAAATAAAAATAAAAATAAAACAAGAATTCCCAGGAATTAAAAATACGAATATAAATTAAAAACTGAATCCCTCTTTCCTTCCTCAAGGAAACACTGTCCACCCTATAAGAAATAGATTCAGATCTCTTGATCCTGGGACTCCCTGAACTTATTTACCTATGAACATTCAGTAAAATCATATTTGAGTCTTCTAGTTTGGCTTGACTCTTACAACAGTTACAAAGGGAAGGGATGAGCGTCTACCTTTGGGCCAGACTATTAAAGTGGCGGCGGTGCTGAGTAGAAGGGAGTAGATCCCGGTAGAGCTCAGACCCCGCAAAAGCCCTTCTTATAGGAGGACTTCCTTCCAATGATTTTGTCTTTAAAACTGCCAGGCCTATACTTCTCAGCCTCTTAAAAAATAAAATAATAAAACCAAAGAGAGAAACATTAAAGAGTCTCATACCACATTGGCCTGGGCCTCCCTGGGACTGGGTGCCTCCTTTTGCATAGTTTCCATGGATGGCAGGCAGAGCACACTCTTGAAGCAGGTTCGGAGTAGCTCTACCCTTTCTTCTATCTCTAAGAGGGGCCTGAGCATCCTAAGATCCAGGGAGGAGAAAAAGTGTAACCAGTGTTGCCAGGAATACAGCTGAGAAAGGTACAGAAAGAGAAGGTGGAGACAGAGGGGTAAGCAGGAGCAAGAAAGAGGAAGCTATCAGAAGAAAGGGTGATAAAAGAAGCCAGGGAAGGAACAGGAAGAAAGGGTGGAAAGAGCCAGGAAGATGGAAAGAAAGGAGCTAAGGGAAAGAGAAGAGGCACGACTATTGCGGGAAAGGGTACTGCTACTTTGAGATGATATGTTACTTTTTAGTTCCCCAGAGGTTTTTGAGGGAGTGGGGCATCAGTGGTGGAAAGGGAGGTGCCTAGTCAAGGACAGCCTTGAAAGCAAAAGGAAGCCTGGGGCAGAAGTGACAGCAAGTGTCTGTGCAGATAGGAGAGGTGGTCTCTGCCAGGTGCTTTGAAAAATCCCATCCAAAAAATCTCGGCAAAATGAAGTGGAAGATATTGTCCAGTAAATTTCTACTACTCCCTATGCTAGAAGCAGAAGCAGAAAATAAGAGGAGAGGATTGACTAAGGAACAAAGAGCTGAAATAGAACCAGGGCAAGAAAGACAGAGTGGATGGCATGTTACCTGAAGTTAGTGATGATGTCCATTGCCTTCTGTCTAATGGGGCTGGAGATGGAGTTCAATGGCTCCTCCTTGATTAGCTCCTAACACACACACACACACACACACACGAGGATGGTGAACATATTTTTCTTGTCTGTCCCTGCCTCTTCCTACCCTAGGCTATGTTCATAAGAAGGTGGAATCTAGAATTTTTAGGGACTTCCAGACTCTGAGGACAGCACCTCTGTCCTATTCCCAACCACACCTTCCCCACAGCACTCACCCCTGCCTGGAGGATGAGAAAGGCAACACTAAGACAGGAAAAGGACACTGGAAAATCTGGGCTTCTACCTTCAGACCTAGCCTAGGAGTGTTACCAACGGTTTCCACAGGGACCCATCCTCCCTCGTCTCTACATCCCCACCTCCACCCTCCTGCAAGGCACTTACCAGCATGTAGGTCACAATTGCTAGCTTGTGGGGGAACTTGAATTGGAAGGCCATGTGCTGCTGGCTGCTCAGGATATTTGTCAGTACGGTTAGGGCATTCAGGTAACTCAGCTTCAGGTCCTTATCCTGAGTGAACCAGTATGCTCAGAGACCTCCAAGGCGGGAATGGTCCCAGGCCAGGGCACACTACTCACATGAAGCCTGGGGGATGAGGAGCTAAGCTTTCTGTAGCCTTCCTTAGACTGATGCTCTGCATCTTCCCTCTGAGGGCAGCCCAGGGCCACCCTTCTCACCAACCCCCTTCCGGAGTCCCCTCTATATAACTCTTAAATTCAGATAGATAGAGCTTCCTTGCTTCTCAAGGTATTGTCTTTCCCTTGAATAAGTTCTACCAAAGGATGTCTAGTTGGAAATGGAAAGGGCTTCTTCTCCAACCCTGGAGAATTTGCCCATGCTTTGGACAAATAGCAAAGGCAGGAAAACAGTATGGGACTCCTTCCACTTCCCCTGAATGCTTCTTCCTATGAACACTAGGGAATTTAGGTTTTTCTCATCCCTTCATCGGAGAGGGTAGTGAAGAGCCCAAAGGCACGTCACATAGTAGCATGCCAGCAGGGAAGGGGACACTTTTCAACAGACCTAAAATTACTGTGGTCTCCTCCTTGGGCCAGTTAGAGTCTCATAGTAGCAAGATTAAGTGAAAGGATTGAAATGTGGGAGAAGTCACTCTACTAGCCTCACCCCCTGACTCCCATTCAAGGCCAGGCATCTTTTTCTTGGAGGGGAAGAAAAGAGATGGCAGAGATGGGATGTTGGAGAAGTAGAGTAAGCAGGGAGTACCTTTTCCAAAATGCAGTTGTGGTAATGTTGCAGGACCAAGGCCAAGATGGCATCCAAATGCATGAATATGGCTCCCTTGCTCTCTAAAATAATCTTACTATAGCTTAAGTAGATGGTGTTACAGACCAGCATCCATTCCCTTTGTTGGTGTTCCTGTAGGGGGAAGGGGGAAACTTGCCTTCTCCTCACCTTATCCTCCTTGCCTGATGGGGAAACGGAGGTTGAGAGAGGAGAAGGTTGCCCAGAGGATGTGGGAGAGAAGATGGGATTGTGGAATGGTGAGCAGCTTGGCGGGGGTGGGGGGTGCAGCTGGTGATACCAGGGCCTGAAGTGTGGACACGAGGGAGCAAGAGAAAGGGAGGGGAGGGTGAAACTTTCCCACAGTTGGTTAGAGGGGGAAAGCAGCATTTATAGGTGAGTGATAAGGCCTCAGAGAAATGGGAGCTGGAGTGATAGGGATGCCTTGGAAGGCTTTGTGGGGGGCTGGTAGAGCCCTCTGGGAATGACATCACCTTTGCAAGTCTGAGGATGAACGATGAGTCCTTGTCAGTGAGTGTAGCACTATACACTTGCAGTTGTTCCAGGACTATCTTCAGATGTTTCATGGACACGATACTGAGTGCCACAGCAATGCCCTGTAACAAAGATAACCTCAACCCCATGCCACAGCTAAGGGTGAGCCAAGCACCTGCTATGTTCCCCAAAAAACTGGATTTAGAGACAGGAAGGGAGAGGAGAAGGAGAGGAAAGAAATGGAAGGGAAATTTGGTTCCCTAGCCTTGAACTGTTTAAAGTCCAGATGGAGAACCAAATATCTTTGCAAGAAATAGTTCAAGAAGCAAATTATTAAGAAAAATTAGAGTTGCATATTTGCAAAATTTTGGTATTATCAAATCCAACATTGCACAATAGAGAATACTTTTATATGCACTACAAATTCAGAGAATGGTCATTCTGAGGAGGGAACAGAGGGGAAGAACAAGACCCAGGCACCTTATTTACAGCATTGGATAGCCAGTCAGAGAGGAGATGGAAGGCAGGGAAGACTTACAGACAATGCCAATCTTTCTAATTTAGGAGAACAGGAAACAGCAGTAACTCTGACCAAAATAGGCAGGTGAAAAAGAGGCCTGTCTAGGTTGGAAAGAGAGAAAGGAGCAAGTTCCTGGATGTGGTGTATGGGAGGTGGTGGCAGAACAACTATGGAACTGTTTTCAGTGTCAGGGGGTCTGAAAGTTGGAGCTGGAAGTGTGGATCTGGGAATCAACAACCCAGAGAGAGCCAAAAGCGCAAAGGCTTGAGGATTCTGTGGTTCCTGCCATGAACAGTCTTTAACATAAATCCCCCCGCCTCATAGCAGGGCTTTTTGACTTCAGCCAAGCCTCGTCCTAGAGCTTACTCAACAAGAATGCCTGGGCAAGGAGCTAAGGAACTGCTCAACACAGACATTCAGGTGCAGGCCGTTTGCCAATTGGCTCATTTGTGCTGGAAGGGCCACCATTAAGACTTTGCAACAAGAGAAGGCAGGGTGGAAGGTACCTCGGGACGGTGACAGGCTCTAGAACACAGATTCTTGACAGGGGTGAAATTTTAGTGGGACTTGTAGACTTTTGGACTCCAAGTAGATGAAGGGAAATTTTTACCTCGTTAGAAAAGGGTGACTAGTATCAGAAGGGGGTTCTATTCTGCCCCTCTTCTTAAGTCCTCCGTTAGCCATGGCTGTCACTTATCCTGGTCATCATCATTATCATTATCATCATCGTAACTGACATCATCAGAATATTAGTGCTTAGCCCTGGCCGGTGTTGTTCAGTGGTTAGAGAGTTGGCCAGGGCACCGAAAGGTTGCAGGTTCTCCACATACCTGGGTTATGGGTTCACTCCCCGCCCCTTGTCAGAGTGAGTGCAGGAGGCAACCAGTCGATGTGTCTCTCTCACATTGATGTCTCTCTCTCTCTCCCTCTCCCTCTCCTCCACTCTATCTAAAAATTAATGGAAAAATATCCTCAGGTGAGGATTAACCAAAAAAAAAAAAAGAATATTAGTTTTTAGTTTGCCTTATACATGTTATTTCATTGATCCTCACACTAATGCTTTGAAGTAATTATTATCATCCCCATTTTACAGATGGGAAAAATACGTTTCCCAAATCTAGACATCCAGCCTAGATCTGTGTTCCAGGTCTACGTGGTTACTGGACATCTCCACCCGGCATTCCAACCCCCCATCCCCAATCAAAAACTAAGTGCATCCACTTCCTCTCCCTTTTGTCCCACAGTCCTGGTTTTAGGGAAGGATAACATTCTCCTCCCACCGAGAGACCAGGAACCCAAGAACCATCCCAGATGTCCTCTCCCTTATTATATTTATCTTCTATATCCAATCTGTCCCCAAGTGCTAACAGAGAGGTCACTTTTAATTCCTTGTCAAAGAACTCCACACTCCAGTCCCACTAGACCACTGACTGTTCTCTAGATGTGCTCCCCAAGCTCCTGAATTTTGACTCAAAATATTATGTCAAGTGAGAATATCTGCCTCCTTCCTCCTAAACTCGCCCCAACCAACCCAAGTCCCAGCAAGTCTGGGCACTATGCCTCAGTGACTGCTCACATAGCCTTTAGTAAGGCTGTTGTGTATAGTTGGCTGTTTCCTTCCTGTGCATGTCTTTCTCATTGATACTGTTTGCGCCTTGGGCTTGGTAAATACCTGCTGCTGACCATGGTGCTGATGGATGCTCTGAGAACCTGGCCAGAGAAGGGCCTTGGAGAGGGAAGGCCTGACAGCCTGGAAACCAGCACTACCAGTAATCAACACGTAAGAGAGTGCTTATGTGCCAGGTATTGCTTGGCACATAAGTGTTTCTACATTTTAATCCTTAAAACTATCCTACAACACACATAACTTCTGTGGTATCCACCAACAATTCCCACTCTGAATCTAATCATGAGGAAGTATGAGACAAACCAACACCAAAGGACATTCTACAAAATGAGTGGGCTGTACATTTTTAAAATGTCGAGGTCATGAAAGATAAAGAGGAGGAACTTGTTCCAGATTGAAGAAGAATAAAGGGAGATGACAACTGAATGCACGGTTTGATTCTGAATTAGACCCCAGACTAGAAAAAAGAATGCTTCTCTCTTGCTCTAAAACACACTGTTGGCACAATTGGTGATTTTCAAACTGGGCCTATAAATTAGATAACAGTGGTGTAGAGGTGTTAATTTCCTCATTTTCATCACTGTACTGTGTTTATGTAGGAGAATATATTTTTAGATAACCTACACTGAAGTATTTAGAGGTAAATGAGCATCATGACTTCAGCTTCCACTTCAGATTCAGAAAATACAATAATTGTGTTAGCAAATAAATATATTATTTATGTGTGTGAGAGAATGATAAAGCAAACATGAAAAAACGTTAATATTTTGGGAATCTGGGCAAACAATAAACAGAAATTCTTTGGGATTTTTTCTTTTTTGCAGCTTTTCTTTAAGTACAAAATTATTTCAAAATTTAAAAAAAAACAAAACTTTTTAGGAAATATCCTATGAGAAAGGTACCTCTTACAGAGGCAGAAACTGAGGCACACAGAGGTTTATTAACTTGCTCAAGGACACATAGCTAGTAGGTAGCAGAGCTGGGGTTCCAACTCAGGTGGTCTGTTTGCCAGGCCAGAGCTTTTAGCCACCTTGCTATCCTGACTCTTAAACTAAAAATGCTTAGCCAGTGCCCTGTCTCACCTCCCTCTCCTGCAGGTTCTCATGGGAAGATTGGAGGATGGAGGAGAGCATCATCTTCACCAGTTTCTCATTCCTTGAGGTCCGCAGGGAGAAACCAAAGAATTTATATAGAAAAACCTAGGAGAGGTAGGAGGGCAGGGTCATGCATAGCTTGGAATAGGTTAGGGCAGGCATTTGCAAGCCTAGCCACCACCTTCACCCACAGTTCCATCCTTGGCCCCAGCCCTTGCTCTCTGGGGCGTCTGGGTAAGGCAGCAATCCTGCGGAGCAAGGGCTCAAGCTAGAAGAGAAAGCTTCATTTCTAATGTTTCAACCTCTTAGGGATCATCCTTTGGAACTTTCCCTGATCCACATACTTCTCCATTTGAGCTAGGAAATAAACAGAGTTCCTTAAATTGGCATAATTTTAATATCAAAATTGCATAATTGAAAAAATGCTTTTATGTAATCCTCTCTCCCTCCTCTGAATCTCAGTGGCCTTTGTCCTTGCTTACTGCACACTGCCCTGTCTACCTTGTAATGCAACCTGCGTGGACTCGCCCACTGCCTACCTCAGGGTCTCTGCTTTTCCTACATTTTCTGTCTAGAACCCTCTTCCCTGGGCTCTTCAAAATGTCTCATTCTCAGCTTTCAGATCTCGCCTCAGTGAGCCTTCCTTGACTTCCTAAGTTCCTCTCCAACTCACCACCCTGTTCCCTTCCTTCAGAGCTTCATCACAACCACTCATTATCTTGTTTATGGATTTGTTCAGTTAGTTTCTCACTTGCCCCAACCCCACATCTTGAGTGAAAATCAAGCTCAGGAGCAGTGTCTATCTGGTTCAGTGCTCTGCCCCCATGCTAACAGTGCCTGATGCAGTAGGCACACAGGACATACAGCTGTTCAATGAATGTCTTAACTCCCCCTCTCTATGAGTGTCTTTTCCCCTCTAGCAAACACTTATGGTTCTTTGTGCAGACCTTTGGGTTCCTTCCCTTCAATGGAACCCAAACTTTTTTCAACTTTTGTGAATAGTTAACCCTGCAGCCTTCTGGGGAAGAACTGCCCGGTGGGACCAGGGCCTCTGCCCCAGGTGCCTGCGAGCCACATTGTCCCCTCTCCCCTTCCTGCACTGGAACAACCTTGGAAACCTTGAGTCAACGACAGACAAGCTGGGGAGCAGGGGGTACAAAACCCCCCTCACTTGTCTCCAGGAAGGATAGACTCTGCCGTGCAGTTTCCCTCCAGGGCTCCCATGGGATCAGGCCACATCCTTGCTTAGCCTCTCCTCTCCCCTATCCTGCGTCCTTCATTCTATCACAGCTTCTCCCAAGAGCATTTCCTTTCTAAGTCACTTGACAAGAATCCTCACCTTAGGCTCTGCATCAATTAAACCTGACCTAAGGCACCTACTTTTCTGCTTAGCTGACAGATGACTACTCATCTTCCCAGTTTGCCCAGGACTGAAGCAGTTCCCTGGACACAGAACTTTCAGCACTAAAATCAGAACAGTCTTAAGCAAACCTAAACAGGGGATTGCCTCTGAGAAAACTTCTCTGTCAAGGCCCCACAGGCCTCCTCTGTGCTCCCAAGCACACAGTGCATATTTCCACCCTGACACTTAAAACACTTAGAACAATTGCCCATTTTCTTGTCTATTCACTCAAACAGACGATGGTTTCCTGAAGGCAGTCTGTGTCTTTTACAGGAATACCCTGTGCCCAGTCCAGTGTCTGTTCTGCTCTAGGCACTTAGTACACATTTTTAATAACTGACTTAATAAGATCAGAATTCCACCTCACTTCATTTTGTATTCCTAGTCTACCATCCACAAAGATGTGTGTACAGTAGATGCTTCATAAATATTTGTTAATAATTAGAGAGCAAACATCCTTGGAAATAAGACCTCTTTTTTGGAAACCCCCCAGAGCCCAAATAAAGTGTTGCTTGGTGACAGGAAAACAATATTCAAAATCAAGAAACCTGGATTCAGGTGCCAGTTTTACCAATAATTTGCTTAAGACTCTAAATCCTTCTAGATTGTGTTTCCTGATCTGCAACGTAGGGATGACGACAGCTATCAGGCTATTTAGCCTTTTGAGTTAATAAAGCACCTTCACAGGCATCCTTGTTCAGTTCTCATTCTCTGTCCTGTGATGCAGAAGTTACTTTTGCTGCTTCCCAAGTGAGGCCACTGAAATCTTGAGGACGCTAAGATGCTTGATCCAGACTAAACTGGGAGCCCGTGGAAAAGCGAAGGCGGGACCCCAGGCTGTCGCCAGCACAGACCTTGCTCTCTGTGAGGGAAGGGGCCCACATTTCTTCCTCAGCTCTGTATCTCCAACACCAAGCACAGCCCCTAATCTATGGGATGCCCTCAAATATTCCTTGAATTAACTTGCTTAAATCTGACTCTAAAATCAATAATCTTCCCACTGCACCCAAGCACCACCCTCCACCCCAATTTCCCCCCTTGCAACTGCCACACACCCATACACACCTTCTCAAAGTTGTCATCATTGAAGTAGCTTATCCTCTCCAAGATGACCCTGGTGAGCTGCTCCTGCCAGCTGTCATCATCAATGGCCACTAATGACTGACTTAAAAACTGTGGAAGAAGGGAGAAGAGAACCACAAAGGACAGTGGCAGGGCTTTCCTGCCCCACAGAAGAAGGGTCAAGAAGCAGCAAAATACAAGGGTCATGGTCTGTAAACATGGAAAAAGATGTGAAATACATGGTGGGAGTTAGTCAGAACTGGAGAATCATAATGCCGTGACAGTGATGGTAATGCCAGTTACAGGTGGGAAGCCCTTCCCAATTTACAAGGACGTCTCCCATATCATCCTGTTTAATTCTGGAAGACAGGAGTTACTTCCATTTCACAGACACAGACAAAGAACCTGAGACATGCAAAGGCTAAATAACTTGCCCAAGGACACACAGCTAGGGCTCTTTCCCTTACTCCCCCTTGATACGGGGCCTTGAGGGTGTGGAAGGTGAGTCAAAGTTTAGGATATACTCAGGTACTCTGATGCAGAGGCCAGGAGGCAAGGGGACCACAGAAAGAGGTTCGCTTGAGCAGGGAGTCTCTGGGGGGTTTCTGGGGCTACCTTCCCTCAGGATCCTAAAGAGGGGAAAGAAGGCAAGTGGGGAAGGGAAATAGCTCTTGGTGAGTGCTTACCTGGAGCAGCCTGTCCTCCCACTCCTCCTGATTCAGGTTCTTCTCAGTGTGATCTAGGAAAGGAGAGACCACGGGGACCCACCAAACCAGAAGGCCACAGCCGGGGAGAAAAAAATCATTTAAAATCTATGTGGCACTGAGCCTACAAGATAACTGCTCTCCCACTTTACAGAGGCTCCAGAAGATGAATGATTTTCCAAAGGTGAAACATACACAGCTGGCCAGTGTCAAGAGCAAGGATACAAAACTGGTTTGTCTGTTTCCAAAGCCCACACTCTTCCCTGATCCTCTGCCTGTAAGAAGCAGCAGGAATCATTCTGGATATCTGGAACCACAGAACCTGGGACTGTGTATCTGCTCAGTGCTGAACATTGCCCAAGTAAGCAGACCCATCCAACAGCATCTCAGAGGGACAGAGAGCTTGATCCCAGTTCTCCTCACCCCAAGGAAGGTCCATCCTGCACCTCGAGACTCCATCTCTTCTGGAGTCTGCCCACTGTCCCAGCTCCATCCTTCCCCACTCCTAACCAACCCCTTACCATCCAGTATCTTCAACATCTGTGGGATTGCCTTTGTCCACAGCTGGCCCACATTGGAGTGGATAACGGGGTGCAGAGAAGTGATAGGATGCAGGGCATGTAGAAGCTTTAGAGAGCTTGCACCAAACTTGTTTTCTCTATAAGGCTTTTGGGAAAACACCTGAGAAGCAAGTGGAAGGCAAAGAAAAGATTTAAAGGAAGAGAAGAAAAAAAATTAAAACAAACCCATAGAATGGTAGAGCTGGAGCTTAACCCTCCCCTTTCTTTTCCACCTGTTGAACTCCTACATACTCTAAGATGCTCTCAAAACATCACCTCTTCTGTGATGCTTTCCTGACTCCTGAAGACTGTGTCAGCTCATTGCTCTTCTAAGATCCCATTGCACCCTGTGTATTCGTCTATTAGTACACTTGTCACACTGGAGTATAGATGGTTATTCCCAGGCCTGTCTTCCCCACTAAAACTGTGAATACCTCAAGGGCAGGCCTACCTTTGTCACTCCAAAGGTTCATAATGTCTAGCTCATAGTGTCTGAGCAAACAGAGAAACTCAGAACAGTCATCCAGAAAGGCATGCAGACTTGCCCAAGGTCAACAGAGAGCAGCTTAGGATAAGGTCACATAGGAGACAGGCTAGGCCTTTCTCATCCCAAACCCCTTTCCCATCTTCAGACCCCACCACTATGCTCCCAGTTCCCTCCTCCAAGCTCTTTGGCCCCCCTGATACTGGGCCCTAGCTCTTCATTCTACATCTAGCATAATGCCTGAAATAGAGTACACTCAACTATTTGTGAAATGATTGGAAGGATGGATGGATGGATGGATGGACGGACTGATGGGTGGATGGAAGAATGGTTGGACGTACACTCATCCCAGCTTCACTTACCACAAGATGGGTCAGGAGTCTCTGAGGTGAGATGAACTGGGTGGCTAAGTTAAGGAGGGGATAAAAGGAGAGGACAGAGTCAGTGCACACTCTAGGATGCTCACCCTCCAGCCTCCACTGGCGGCTCCCCATCAGTACTTCAGAGGAGGAGAAAGAGCAAAGTGGAGAGGGAACATCAGTGCCAATACCATGGGGCCCTGTGACATTTTGACTCAAACAAATCATTACATTTTCAGCCTATAAAAAAATATACACACACCAAGTAATATGCTAAACAGACATCTCAACTCTAACCCTGACTCCCACTGGGGTTAGAGGTCAGGGATGGGGTGAGTACAGAGTGAGGTTCAGAGTTGGGGCAAAGGAAGAACTAAGGGTCAGAAATGTTTGTGTATTCATTACTTTATAATTAACAGTGTTCGTACATCTCAACTCCAGTGTTTTAAAATGAGGAATAAAGGCAAGAAGGAACTGGGTCTTCCAGAGGCATCCCCTTTTCATCCATGGGGCTAAATGGCCTTAAGCCACTGCCTTACTCTTCCCATCATGGCCCAGGTTTGGGACCTACAGCCTCCCCCTCAGATCTGCACCCTCTCCCCCATACCCAACAGTCCTGCAGTGTCTCAGCCAGCCCTGACAGCCCCCAAGCCCAACACTCCATGCCCACAACAGCCTGAGCTTTCACAGTGAGCACCTTTCCACAGGCAGCCCTACCCTTGTACTTACAGCTTAAGTGAAAGCTGCTGAGGTAGGGAAACTTGCCCAGGGAGCGGGCCTTCAGAGCCATTTCTGTGGCTGCCTTACACAGAGGAACAAAGGCCATGGTGTTGTTGGGATCACACGCCAAAGTGATCAGTTTGGGCAAAGATACCTGGCAGAAGATGTGGCAAGAACTTCAATGCCAAGACCCAAATCAACCCCAGTCCTAAGTTCTCCAACCCCATGACTTTGTTCTTTCCTGGAGGGAGTGACATTTGAAGTTTGTATACACAGCCCCCTGCAACCCATTCATATTCATTCTCTCTCTCCCCTCCCTCCCATATTGATAAAATATAACCAAGGCCCTGATTAAAATTACAGCAGGAAGAACTTGATTCAATAAATGAGGGCTTCTTGCAATTTGGAATGTGTGGCTTGTAACCACATTCATTTAGGAACCTTGCAGAGACAGAGACATGCTGAAGGTTAGGAGGCAGAGTTTACTGGGAGGGAGAGTAAATCTCAAGTCCTTTTCTTCCCACAGCCCTTTCCTCAGCTCTGACACAAATCAGCTTGTATGAGCCTCCAAGAATTCCTAGAGGTTGCTAAGAACAAACAGGCAATAGAATCACCCCCTTTTTTATGAAAGAAGAAACTACAGCTGGGAAAACAAATTACTCAGTACTTTACAGCTAGAAGTTGGCTGAGCAGGACTCAAACTCAAGCCTCCCAATCCACCACCCAGTGACCCTCTTTTGCTGCATTGAGCACTTCTCAGAGAAGCCCCAGGTGCTTGAGTGAAAAAGAATGGAGGTGGGGAGAGGGGTGAGACACCACAAGGGATTACAAGGGAGGGCATAGAATGCAGTCCGGGGGTCAGGGTAGTGATGTAGGGAGCCAGGGGAGGAGGAAATGGAGAGGCCTGCTTGACCCTAGCTGTTTGTACCATCTGTAGAATTTTGGAACACATTATTTGGGTGTCCTCCTCTTCATTCTGGAATAAGAAAAGGAAAGATTTAAATCTGAAATAAATGCTAGCTAAGTATCTGGGTTCAAGGCCTCCCCTGGATCACTGCTCAGGGTTTTAGAGGCCAAAGGCTCTTCCCATGTGCCAGGTGTACCCTCTTCTTTCCCTCCTGCTCCCAACTCTGCCTTTCTCTTGTTCCCTCCCTGGAGGACTGCTCCCACCCTCAGTCCCCTCCTTGCCCCAGCCCCTGCTCACTGATGGGTCACACACGCTGAGCTTGATGATATAGTTGATGATGGTGTTCCCCTGGGGCAGGGCCAAGTAGTTATGCTGGCCTAGCATCTCAATGAAGTGCAAGAGGACCTTCGGCACCTGTGGGGTCACAGACCATTACATGACAAGACAGGTAGGAATGTCAGGGACTGCCAGTAGGACCCCTCATGCTCCAGATGAGAACACACAGGACCAAAGCAGGTGAGGGGCTCAGATCTCCTGACTCCAAGCCCAGTGTGACTCTTCAGTGGGCTCCAGGTAATGACAGACCACCAGCCACTGAACATGACCACTTCTGTACTTCTCCTTAAAGTTCTAAACCACTTCAGCTCCCACCACCTTCCTGGAGAACTCTAAGCTCTTAGCTTGCCCGCACCTTATTTCCCCAGATATATGAAAATTAGCAGGAGTGTTGGGTAGGGGGGAGAATCTGAGTCCAGGGAAGGTCCCATGTTCTAGCCTTCCTAGGGAAAGCCAAGAACAAATCCCACAAGTCCTGAGAGCCCAGCCCTCAAGATTCCAGGCTTTCCATTAACCTTCTGAGGATTTAGGACTTTGTTTTTAGGTATGATGCCATTGTTTCCACTTGATACCCCAAACCACTACTCCCCTGCCCCCCAACCCCCGTTTCCCTATCCTGTGTGATCCAGAGCTGGAAGCAGTCTCTGCTGTCTCCAACCTTGGCTGAAGAGCTTATTAAAAATATGGTTTCTCACAAAAGATTGAATCAACAATTTGGAAGATAAGGTAACAGAAAACACCCAATCAGAACAGCAAAAAAAACACAGAATCTAAAAAAATGAGGATAGTTTAAGGAGCATCTGGTACAACATCAAGCATACAAATATTTGCATCATGGTGCTGCCAGAAGGAAAAGAGAAGTAGCAAGGAATTGAAAATCTATTTGAAAAAATAATGACAGCCTGGCAAGTGTGGCTCAGCAGTTGAGCATAGACTTATGATCTAGGAGATCGAGGCTCGATTCCCAGTCAGGGAACATGCCCCAGTTGCGGGCTCGATCCCCAGCAGGGGGAGTGTAGGAGGCAGTCGATCAATGACTCTCTCTCATCATTGATGTTTCTGTCTCTCTCCCTCTCCATTCTTCTCTCTGAAATCAATAAAAAAAAATATTTAAAAAATGATAACGACAGCCCTGGATGGTTTGGCTTGGTGGACAGAGCATCGGCCTGTGGACTGAAGGGTCCCAGGTTCAATTCTGGCCAAGGGCACATACCTTGGTTGCAGGCTCAATCCCTGGCCCTGGTTGGGGCTCTTGCAGGAAGCAACCAATCGATGTGTCTCTCTCACAATGATGTTTCTCTCACTCTCCCCCTTCCATTCTCTCTGAAAAGCAATGGAAAAAATATCCTCAGGTGAGGATTAAAAAAACCAAAAAAGTAAATACCTTCTCAATAAATATAAATCTCCACATGTATTTAAAATAATAATAATAATGACAGAAAACTTCTCTAATGTGGTGGAGAAAATAGACATACAAGTCCAGGAAGTGCAGAGAGTCCCAAACAAGATGAACCCTAAGAGGCCCACACCTAGACACATCATAATTAAAACGCAAAAGGTTAAAGACAAAGAGAGAATCTTAAAAGCAGCAAGAGAAAAGCAGTTAGTTATCTATAAGGGAGTTCCCCTAAGACTGTCAGCTGATTTCTCAACAGAAAATTTGCAGGCCAGGAGGGATTGGCAAGAAATATTCAAAGTGATGAAAAGCGGGGACCTACAACCAAAATAACTCTACCCAGCAAGGCTATCATTTAGAATCAAAGGACAGATAATGACCTTCCCAGAAAATGAAAACCTAAAGGAGTTCGTCACCACCAAACCAGTATTACAAGAAATGTTAGGGGAGAAGAAGAAGAAGAAGAAGAAGAAGAAGAAGAAGAAGAAGAAGGAGGAGGAGGAGGAGGAGGAGGAGGAAGAGGAGGAGGAGGAAGAGGAGGAAGGAGGAAGGAAGGAGGAAGGAAGGAGGAAGGAGGAAGGAAGAAGAAGAAACTATAAAAAATATAAAAAATAAAATGGCAATAAATACGTATCTATCAACAATTACTAGAAGTGAAAATGGATTAAATCGTCCAATCAAAAGACATAGGATGGTTGAATGGATAAGAAAGCAAGATTCTTACATATGCTGTCTGCAAGAGAATTACTTCAGATTGAAAGACACACACAGACTGAAAGTAAAGGGATGGAAAAAGATATTTCATGAAAATGGAAACAAACCAAAAATCTGAGTAGCAATAGTTATACCAAACAAAATAGACTTTAAAACTATAAGGTAACTTTAAAGGCTATAAGGAGAGACCACTCCTTCCACTTCTGGGTATTTATCTGAAGAAACCCAAAACACTAAATTGAAAAGACATATACATTCATATGTTTATCGCAGCATTATTTACAATAGCAAAGATATGGAAGCAACCTAAGTGCCCATCAATAGATGAATGGATAAAGAAGAAGTGATGCCTGGTTAGTGTGGCCCAGCAGTTGAGTGTAAACCCATGAACCAATAGGTCGCTGGTTCGTTTCCCTATCAGGACACATACTTGGGTTTTGGACTTGATCCCCAGTAGGGGGTATGCAGGAGGCAGCCGATCAATGACACTCTCTAGTCATTGATGTTTCTATCTCTCTATCCCTCTCCCTTCCTCTCTCTCTAAAATCAATAAAAACATATTTTTAAAAAATTTTTTGTAATGTCTTTATTGATTTCAGAGAGAGGTAGGGAGAGGGAGAGAGAGAGAAACATCAAGGATGAAAGAGTCATGATTGGCTGCCTCCTGCACACCCCCTACTGGGGATTGAGCCTGCAACCCGGGCATGTGCCCTGACCGGGAATCAAACCTGGATCTCCTGGATCATAGGTCGACGCTCAACCACTGAGCCACTCCGGCCAGGCAATAAAAACATATTTCTTAAAAAAGAAGTGGTACACATATACAATGGAATATGACTCAGCCATAAAAAAGAATGAAATCTTGCCATCTGCAACAACATGGGTAGACCTAGAGGCCATTGTGCTCAATGAAATAAGTCAGACAGAGAGACAAATGCCATATGATTTCACTTATTTGTGGAATCTAAAAAACAAAATAAGTGAACAAGCAGAACTAAGACAGACTCATAGATACAGAGAACATTTCGACAGTTGCCAGATGGGATGGGAGTGGGGGAACAGGTGAAAAAGGTGAAGGGGTTAAGAAGTACAAATAGGCAGTTACAGAATAGCCATGGGATGTAAAGTACAGTGTAGGGAATATAGCCAATAATATTGTAACAATTATGTATGGTGCCAGGTGGGTACTAGATTTATTGGGGTGATCACAAGTTATATAAATAAATGTCTAACCACTGGGTTGTACACCTGAAACTAATATAATATTGTATATCAAGTGTAATTGAAAAAGAAAAAAAATTGAAAGGAAAAAATATATATATGGCTTCTCAGACCCCACGCCAGATGCGATGTTTGAGGACTTCTCTCCCCAAGCAAACTATGATTTCTCAGGGGGCAGAAATAGTACATTTCAGAGCTCTATGTCCCCACTGGGTTCACCACAGTGCTGCCCACAGAAAAGTTCTCAGAAAATATGAAGGAACCACCTATTCACTTCTCAAACCTTTCTCAGGTTTTGAAGAACCCAAATGTAACTAACCCATGGGCAGGAGTTTGAGGCCAGAACTAGTTTGGCAAAAGTGCCTTACCTCTCTCCTTATCTCGCCCCCCCAAACCTTCCCCTCTCCATTTTACCAGACCTCAAGGTCTCAAAACAGCAATTGCCCTCCCAGCCCAAACATTCTGCTTTTCTGCTTACAGGTTTGAGGTCCTCCTGAATCACCATAATGGCTGAATGCATCACCTCGCGCTGCAGTTTCTCTGTCTGAGGCACTAGAGAAAAGACAGACATGCAGGGGAGTCAGTTTCCTCCCTCCTTTGTTGGTTCGGGAGGCATAAGACAGACAGGTAGGAGAAATTTTAGGCACAGTCCTGCTCTTCAAAGGCCAGGGCAAACCCCAGAGATTCTGTCTCCCATCCCTCTGCTTTAAAGCAGACTAAAGAGTGACCTAAAACAATATTTTCATCAAGGTGGCACTTGCATCTCAGCCCTTCCCAGTCTCCCACGACTGCCCACACAAGTCCACCTCACCGGCTGAGCTGTCCTGCTCACCCTCTGCATCTCTCAAGCTTTAGAGCTGCCAGCACTGCTCTTTTTCTGTGTGAATCCCCTCTGCTGACTCAGTCTCCTTCCTGCTCTCAGCACAGCTCCTACACAGAGTCTGTTCCATCTCCCAGCTGACGCCTTCTCTGCATTCCTGTTGTCCATTGCCATGCTCACATTTAAGTAACTTATCACATATTATCTTGCATCATTTTGCTGTATGAACAGGCTCATCTTCCCTACTTGACAGTGAGCTCCTTGAGAGCAGGGACCATGTCTTATTTATGTGTGTATTTTCTGTGCCTTGCACTGTGCTAGGCACACAGTGAAGGTTTGATGAACACTTGATTGGAGCTGAAGCCTACACTCCAAGATATGTTTTCTCTTTTAATTCTCACTAAGAATGCCTGTAGTAAGTATTAATGTTACCTCCCCTTTTCTTTTTTTCATAATCCGCATCCCAGGGTATGTTTTTATTAATTTTAGAGAGAAAGGAAGGGAGAGAGAGAGAGAAACATCGATATGAGAGAGAAGCATTAATTGGTCACCTCACATATGAACCCCCACCGGGGATTGAACCCACAATCTGGGTATGTGCCCTAACCGGGAATCAAGCCTGCAACCTTGTGGTGTACAGGATGATGCTCCAACAGAGCCACCCACTTTTCAAATGAAGAAATACAGGTATAGACTAAAAGTAATCTTCCCCTGCCCAGCCGGTTGCTCAGTGGTTAGAGCATCAGCTCACTGACTGAAGGATCCCAGGTTCGATTCCAGCCAAGGGCACATACCTTGGTTGCAGCCTCCAATCCGGTAGGTGCAGCTAATAAGAATCAAAGCCAGGATTTGAACCCACTGACTTTATATTGAGTTTAAAACTGTGTTTTTAACTACTATATGGAACTGTCTCCCAGAGGAGATCCCTGGGACCAGGCTCAATTCCTACTCACATTCCTGGAACACATCTATGAATGCCTGAAGGCCTGATGTTATCTTGGATGGATCATTGGACTCCAAGGTCTTTCGTATTAAGTATACCAGCTGATCCTTGTATAACTTGGCTATCACAGGGCATGAATACAAGGGAATAAAGGGTATGTTTAAGTGGGAGGTGATAAGTAGGAGTAAATCATGCTCACAGCAAAACACTGATACCATGGGCTGGACAAATTAGGGTCTATGAGGTTGGAAAAAAAGGAGGAAGAAAGAAAGCCAATGTTTGTCCAGCATTTACCATGTGCCAAGCATGGGGGCAGATGCTTTTCCTGAGCTACGCCTGTCCCTCCCCTGCCCCACCGTGTGCCCTCCCATTAGGCCAGAACCTCTTTCATGATCATCAGTGCTGTAATCACATTATCACTTTCTGTGCTTCAGTTCACCAAAGGAGAAAGGGAAGCCAACCTCAGACGAAGGGGGTGGGAACAAAAGGGGTAGGGGTGGGAGAATGTCTATGCCATTTGAGATTCATTGAATTTCAGGCAAACTTTCCATGAATTACTTTGCATCTTGTCTGAGGATGGAAGCCCCTCTTGGGAACCTATGCACCCATTTCAGTCCTGGGACACACATACCTGGGGCTAGGAAAATGTGTTAACTTACCCAGGATGAAGATAGCCTTCAGGGCAAGGCTGCTGTTCTCTACAGAGTGAGGATCTGATTGGTTGACTTTTTTACTCAGCTGTGGGAAGACCAAGGCCATCAGACCTGGGAGCACTGAAAAACCAGGGGCCCTGGGCATGGATGGAGAAACTGAGGTATACAGCCATGAAAAGTGTGGCACTTGCCCATAAGGAAAATGTGAAAATAGAACTCAGGAATTCACATGCACAGCCCGAAAGGAAAGAAGACAGTGACCAACAAATTAAATATACAAAGGGAAAACCTTTTTTTGCAAAGTGTTCTCAATTGTGCTCTTCCTATGCTAGGCTGCAACACAAAAGGCCTGCCATTTCCCACAGGCGTAATGGAGTAGTTTGGACTTTCCGCCCTTAACCAGTTGAGGGGAAGCAACAATGGCCTTCACCCCAGGAAACATACAAAATGTATCCAATTTACCTCCCGGAGACTATCCACTCTGTGACCAATATCCAGGCATTTACCTGTTCCAGGGAAACCTGAGGTGTGTGCAGTTAAGGTCACCATGAGAAAAACTCCTGGGCTGTGTGCAGGTCACGACTTGGGCTGGGGTAACCATTACCTCCAAAGAAAAGGGGAAGACCAAACCCAGGATATTTCCAGCCCCCCAGCACTCACCTGCTCAAACAGCATGCCTGTAATGTTTTCCAGCTGGGATTCCAAGTTTAAACCTCCGCAGTCGCTGAGAGCCAGAGCATTCACAAGTTGGCAGATACACTGTGTGTGTAAGGACAAAGTCAGCCAGTCAGCCAGCTCTTGCCACAGCCTCATGGAAAAGCCTCTGTCCTCACATCTTCTCTTAGAGGTGGCCCAAGCATCACAGTTTCACACTGCCCTCTTGTACCTTTTCAAGAAAGGCCCAGGGGCTAGTTTTTCCATAGCCAAATACAGCCATTACCTGCTTTCCACCTCACCCAGAAAGCTACACTTACTTCCAAATAACCTCATTCTTCCACAGAAAGTTTTAGGGCAACTCAACATTGCAGGTGTTGTCTGACTTCAAAGAGGTAGGATAAAGAAAGCATGGCCAAAGCAAGAACTTGTTCCGCGGTTCTGACTTTTAAAATTCGGAAAACCAAGTTTAAAAGCCTAAATATCTACCCTTTACCTAGTGGATTGTATTGTTTCATGGGTTGTTCTTATCACTTGTATGAGAGTGCTACAAATAGCCTTAGTTTTCACATTTGTAAATATTCCATTTGATTTTTTTTTAAAAACAGCTTTATTGATGTCTGATACATAATAAACTTCACATTTTTAAAGTATACAGTTTAATAAACATAAACACACTTGAAACTATCTCCACAATTAAGATAATAAATATATCCATCACCCCCAAAAGTTTCCTCTTGTCTCTTTGTAACCCCTCCTTCCCTTACCTCCCAACACCTTTCCTTTCCCCAGGCAACCACTAATCTGCTTTCTGTCACTATAGATCTGTCACTTACTTTTTAAGAAACTGCCAAACTGTTTTCCAAAATGATTGTGCCAATTTACATTCTAATGGGTGTGTAGTGGCATCTCACTGAAATTTTAAATTCCCTAATGTCTAAATGATGTTTAGCAACTTCTCCTATGCTAATTTGCCATCCCTATATCTATTCAAATTTTTTGCCAGTTAAAAAAATTTTTTTAATTGATTTTAGAGAGGAAAGGGGGGAGAGAGAGAGAGAGAGAGAGGGAGAGAGAGAGGGAGAGAGAGAGGGAGAGAGGAACATCGGTGAGAGAGAAACACGGATCGGTTGCCTCTCAGACATGCCCCCCCGACAGGACCAGGATCAAACTGCAACCTGGGTATGTGCCCTGACTGGGAATCAAACCCACCACCTTTGGTTGTACCAGACGATGATCCAGCCAACTGAGCCACACTGACCAGGGTTGTTTTTAAAAATTTTAATTGAGTTTTGAGAGTTCTTTATATATTCTGGACACATATATATGATTTGCAAATATTTTCTTCCAGTCTAAGACTTGTCTTTTCATTGTCTTAACAGTTCTCAAAGAACAGAAATTATACATTTTCAGGGGTGGTGGTGGTAAAGGGATGGAGCGATTGAGAAAAAAAGAGCCCTAGACCATTTGCTCAGTGATTAGAGCGTCGGCCTGCAGACTGAAGGGCCCCGGGTTGATTTCAGGCCAAGGGCACCGTACCTCGGTTGCAGGCTGGATTCCCACCCCTATCGGGTCGTGTGCGGGAAGCAGCCAATTGATGTCTCTCTCACATCAAACTTTCTCTCTTTCTCTCCCTTCCATTCTCTCTGAAAAGCAATAGAAAACATATCCTTGGTTGAGGATTAAAAGAAAAGAAAAGAAAAAGAAAAAAAAAAAAAGAAAAAACTCAAGGACACAGATAACCTGGTAGTGATTGCTGGGGGGTTGGGAGTGAGGGGG